ACGACCCCCTCTTCCCCCTCCCCTCTCCCCATCTCCTTCCTGCCCTGCAGCACTTTGTACTCAACAGACTCAAAACCCTCTCCTGCCCCTTGAGGAGTGGCCCGGGGTGGGGGGTGGTAAAGGGGCAGAAAGACCTTACTGATTATCTTTCCACGCATTTCTTTTCTTCCCTCCACTGGCTCCTTCCTGCCTCAAGGTTTTTATACCTCAACTAGTACCATGCCCATCATGCGTGATGGCCGGAGGGGGAGTGGGGCAGGGCATGGAATACCGAGTCCGGCTCCGCGCCCTCCCCTGCCGCTCTGGATCTAGCCCCACTCTCCTGCCTGCTGCTCCAGGTCCTGCCCTGCTCCCCGCTGCTGCTGCTTTGGATCCTGCCCTGCTTTGCCTTCCTCCTGCTGCCATTCTGTGTCCAGCCCCACTCCACCCCGCTGTCTGCTGCTTCACACGAGGGGGTCGTGGCAGTCGGCTGAGTGGAGGAGTGGCGCACGGCCATGGGCCGTGGCATGGGGAGCGGCCATGGCACGGGGAGTGGCCATTGGGTGTTGCGCAGGGTGTGCAGGGGGGCCGTGGTGCTGGGGCATGGTGTGGGGAGCAGCCATGGTGGGGGGAGCAGCCACTGGCTGAGGCCACATGGGGTGGGGAGCAGCCCTGGGGTGCGGCACAGGGTTCAAGGGGGAAGGGAGGGCATGGCACATGACCACGGGGCATGCCGTGGGGAGCGGCCATGGTGCGGGGCTTGTGGAATTCCCACTGGCTGCAGCTGTGGGCAGTGGCCCCGGGTCGTGAGGCTGGGGCTGATGGGGGGCATGTGGCTCGTGGCCCCAGGGCATGGTGCAGGGCGCACTGGGGGTGTGGCAAGTGGGGGCATAGCTTGGGGGGATGAGGGGCTTGCAGCCCTATGCTTCTGCTGATGGGTGCTGTCTGAGCCCCCCATGCCCGCTCCTCGTGTGGCACCCTGTGGCTGCATGCCACGCCCCCCCATGCACCCCATGCCACACGCGCTCTCTGAGCGCCCTGCGATTGCAGCCGGTGGCCACTCCCTGCGAGGGGGCTGGTGTGCAGGGTGGTGTACATGTGGCTGCAGGGTGCCGTGCATGTGGGGGGTGCTCGCCACGTGGCTGCTTGCTACAGGTGGCGGGCACTTCTGGTGTGGGGGTGTGTGGCGTGTTTGTGTATGTTGCCACCTGGGGAGTGCTCCCCATCCCGCAGTGCTGTGGTGCAGCTGGTGGGTGCTGCTGGCACTCCCACACCTGTGGTCACTTTGCCCATGTCCTGCCATGCACCATGCCCCTCCATGCCACCGTGTGTGCCACCACCACGGGCAGTGGGCACTCCCGGTGCAGGTGAGGTATGGCTCAAGGCTGTGCAGGTGGGGTGCACAGTGCTGCTGCAGTGTGCCACGCAGGGACTGGCAGGGGCCCCCCGCCATGTGGCCTCATGCTGCAGTGGCAGACACTATCCGCACCCCCCTGCACCCACTCCCCGTGAGGCACCCTGCGGTGTGCCACCCCTCCTGCACCACATGCCATGCCCCCTGCAGTGCCGCAAGCCATGCTCTCACTCCACATGGCAGCGCACCCTGCCCCACACCCCGGGTCTCTCCCTAGACCGCTTCCCAAGCGGGGAGCACAGCCTGGGCCTGGCTGCCTCCGCCTATGTATCTGCTGTCTGTGAGGCTCCAGGTGGCACATGTGCAGTTGGCGTTAAGGACAGACAGACACAGCTGGAAGTGCCACGGCTTTTATTATATTAGAATGCTTGGACTAGTATTTTGCTGGGTCAGGCAGGGGACGTGTGGGGCAAAGGCAGCGGTGCAGAGAGACCTGAGCAAACAGAGTGCAGCCCACCTCTGCCCTATGCACAAATTTGGGGGCGAATGCCCACCACACCTCCCCCAGGAGTGCATGCAGTACCAGGGAGCTACCCTTCGTTCCCCCACCCAACCCCTTGGATGAGCCACCTGCACCTCTGTCTTGCTCCCTGCCCCAAGCATGCATTGCCCTGGCTGGGGCTCGGCAGTGCTGCCCCTGCCCCTGCCTCAGCCCTATCTCTAGTTGTGGGAGCTTCGATTTCCACCTCCACGCCCCTTCTTCCCCTCCACAGACTTACTTTTATCACATGGTGACGGCTGGTTTGTGGAGCTGGTTTCTGCCAGGTTCCTGGCCACCTGTTTGCCTCTGGCTAGCAGTGCATATGCGCTTCCCACCTCTCGCTGCTGAGGGGCCCTCATTTGCAGAAGGCGTCTGAGCCAGTGCCCACCAGGCCTGGGCGTTAATCCACCTATGGAAGAAGGCAGAGCTCTGCTTGCACCATTGCTCTGAAGGGAGCAGGGTCTTCCCCAAGACCCCCAAGCCAGCCTCCACCTGCAATCCCCTCCTCCCCGCGGCTGCAGGGGCAGGGCATGGGCAGGGCCTTGTCTCTCCTGCGGCCACCTCTGCTGCATGGCCTGGCATCCTTTGTGCCCCAGCTGCTGCCCTCACAGTCATGGGCCAGGGGTTGCTCTGGGATGCTGCAGATCCTGGTTCCATGCACCAGGAATGCAGGGGCCTGGATGCAGCAGCCCAGGAGTCCCCTACAAGCCTGCGTCCCTCTGCTCCTTGGTGCTCCAGTGCGTCCGGGAGGGAAAGGGCATTCCCACTGCATAATGCAGCCCCACACCATGCTGATCTGCATCTCAGCGCTGCCTGCACGCTGGCCTGGAGCAGCTCTGTGCTGCCTTGGGGAGGGGGAAAGAGAACTGCCTCAGTGTCCAGAGCCAGGGCGGCAGGCAGGTCCCAGCACAGGCACTCACCTGGGATGACCAGGGGGACGTCCTCTTGAAGCGACTGCCCCAGAGCCGCATGGCGGACACGGCAGGAGAAAACACTGCCGGCGTCACTGCGGGCGGGGGTGAAGGTGTAGGTCAGGGTGAGGTTGAAGGTCCCGTCCGGGTTCGTCTGGGGGCTGGAGCGGGTGGAGCCCTCCAGGACCTGCCCGTCTCTCAGCCACGCCACGTCCACGTCCTTGGGGAAGAACCTCCCGACGTGGCACAGGAGCGAGGTCTCCACATTGGCTACAGCTGGTTCTCTCGGGATGGAGATCGTCGGGGCAGCTGGAAGGAGAGAGTCACTGCATCATGCGGGACCTGGGATGTGGCATTTGTGAGTCACCCTGCTGGCGGACTGGCACTGCACCGCCATGCCAGGTGTACCAGGCCTTGCCATCCCCGAGCTGCACAACCAGGGTGGGTCAGACACAGGGACGTGGAGCGCACAAATCCAGAGATGTTTCTGTTCCCTACAGGAGTCCCCAGGGAGGTGCTGGGGCCTCAGTGGGGCAGTGCCCAGCTGAGAGGCAGCCTCCCGGGTAGGACGTCTTGATGCCATGCTCACCCCAGGGCAGAGGGCAGCGTGGGCCTGGCAGCCGGGCCTGGAGATGCCCCCCATTGCTTCTCCCTGGCTTCATGTTTCATAGTACTGGGGGAGTGATGTCCCTCATCTAGTATACTTTTTTATTGTTTTATTGCAGGTGTGGCTGTGTGGGCCTGAGGAGAGAGAGGCTCCAGGAGAGCTGGATGTAGCTTTGCTAACTGTGACTGAAGCTATTCCAGGAGATTTTTTTTCCAACATGGCGTAATGTCATTATTAATTGACGTTAATAATGTGGGTCCACCTGTACGTGCTGCCCTCAGCCTCCACCCAGCCCCAGCATGGTCACAGCCACCCCGTGGGCCCATCTCAAGTCCTCACCGAGCAGGCGCAGGGTGGTGTTCCCCGGGTGCTGCTGCGCCCCGTACCCCACAACACACCGGTACAAGCCCCCGTCTGACACAGTCACCACGGCCGGCGACAGGGAGGCGTCTCCGCTCTGCAGCGCCTTCTCCGACGGCAGGCTGGCTCCGGGCTGGGCCTGGCTCCTGCCCGGCTCGTACCAGGCCACCTTCTTCTTCCAGAAATACCACGTCACCCGCAGGGAGTCCAGGGCCACGGGCCCCCCGACATCGAACCGGCACTGCAGCAGGGCCCCCGAGCCCACGTGGGCCGTGGAGGAGGGCACCGTGGTCACCTGCAGCTGGGAACCTGCATGGGGGGAAGTGGGAGCAGCCGTGAGCCCCCGTGGCCCACCCAGAGCTGGGCTGTTCTCTGCAAACACGGGGCTGCTGGGATTTCTCTGCTGCAGGCCTGTTCTGGTCCCAGCACTCAGCTGCCCCTGCACCGGGGTGACGGAGGAGGCCGAGCCAGCTGCATGTTGCCTTTGGGGGGCTCAGTGCGATCCGCCTGCACTGAAGACAGGGCTTGTAAAGACTCCTCTATAGGACATCTCGATGCCCTGCTCACCCCAGGCACAGAGGGCACCATGGGCCTGGCCGCAGGGCCTGGAGACTGCCCCTCATTGCTTCATGTCTCGTGGCGCTGAGGGCGTGTTGTCCCTCTGGCAGTATACTGTTTAAAATTGTTTTACTGGAGCTGTGGCTGCATGGCCTGAGGAGAGAGAGGCTCTGAGAGTAGGGTTGCCAACTCTGACTGAAGCTATTCTGGCAGATTTCTTCCCCCAACACAATGTAATGTCATTATTAATCATACTGTTCAACCCGTTCACAATATCAATCTCCCGGATTGCTTTCAATAGCCACAGGCACATCGGTGCCTATTCCAGTAGACTCCTGGCCAACCGGGGAGGGCTGGAACCCTATCTGAGAGAGCTGGATGGGAGCAAAGGTCCCTGGGCAGACAGAGAGGAAAGAAATGGCCCCAGGGAGGACGGAGTAAAGCCCAAGGGAGCACAGAGGGAACCACAGACCCCAGGAAGACGGGCTGTTCTGGAGCAGACTCTGCCATGCTGCTGGATACGTTGGGGCACTCGGACCCCTCCTCATTAAAAGAGGAAACCCCCTGTCTCAGCCCAGAGGTGCCCTTGGGAAGCGGCGCCAGGGCTGACGGCAGGGCTCCTAGTGGGAGAGGCAGACCCAGCACAGCTGCTTGGGGGTCCTGACGAACAGCTTTGCCTCCCCCTGAAAAGGGGCAGTTGATCTTTGTCATGAAACCAGGGCTGAACACAGCCAGACCAGCCCAGTCCAGTCCTGCCAGCCCCACACTTACCTGCCGTCTCCAGGACGAGGAGAAACAGGAGCAGGCCCCCGAGGCGCAGAGCCCAGGCGTCCGTCCGTCCTGCCACAGTCGCCATCTCCTCTCCTGCCTGCGTGGATGCCTGTGCCTGCCTTCCTACTTTCACTTTGCAGGAGTCACAGGGAGGGGCTGGGAGAAGGGCCAAGGTGCAGCGGGAAGCTGGAGCTGCTCCTACCCCACCCCACAGGGCTGCGGGACGCGGGGCCAGCCCTGCCCACAGGCCTGGGGAGAGCAGGGGAGGGTCAGCCCCGAGCTCAGTGGCATGTGGGGCCCCCTCTTCTCTCCGTGGCTGGGGGGAAAGCACAGAGGGGCTGTGTGCTGCTTGGGGTCTGGTCCCTCCGCACCACCCAGGTCTTCGTGTCCCAGGACCTCCCCCAGGCCTGAGGTCCCCAAGGCTGTGCTGAGCTGGGGTGGGGGGCACAAGAAGAAAGGGAAAGCTCTTCCTCAGGACCCCCAGGAACCAGATGTATTTATCCCCTTTATTTAAGAGAAAGGGCAGCCCCTGGCTTGGAGACCCTGGCTCTCCTCAGCCCCTGGCTTCCCTAAGGGCTCCACAGCACTTGCACCTACGGGCGCCCCTTCTCCTGGCTCAGGCCTGGGAAGGACGGGGGGTTTCTTCTGTTCAAGAGCAGGGACCAGAGTGGTGGGACAGGAGAGACCGGCCTGCCCAGCCTGAGGTAGGAGCACGCAGCTGAGACCGGCTGTGTCTGCCCCAGCCCGGGCACTGCCAGGGCAGGCTCAGGAGCAGGGAAAGCCCATTCGGGGACAAGTCAGGGGGCAGCACCAATCATCCCAGCCCCAGCCCCCTGCACCGGGGCGCACTGGCACCAAAGCCCCATGCCCAGACCTGATGCTGTCGGCAGAGTCGCTCCCACGCCTGCCCCTGTGGCCTGTGCCCAGGGGCCGACTGTGTAGGCCTCACCGCAGAGCTCTG